CAGAGGACCCTAAGGGGCACAGCTTTTAAGACTCCAGGCTTGGAATGGAGCTGACTTCCCTCTTGGCCTACCATGTTTGCATAGACAAGTGGTGGTTGGAAAAGGAATCTCAGGACATTCAAGGTTGGTAGGGAGGGGCCTCCAAGGGCAGCCGGCTCCATTCCTTCTGCACAGCTACAGCCATTAGGAGGCTGAGGACCTCCCCACCAGTTGCTGGTGGCCATCTGGAGGGGTCACAGAAGTGACTCCCTCCTTGGAGACACTAGGTTGACCCAGAGGCTGGAGGGCCAGGAACTCTCTGCTTGTTTGCTATTTTCTGTTGCAATGTGGGGAGTACAGCTAGGCTACTTCCTCCTGAGGGCTGTGAGGGGCCTCCTACCCTGGCCCTGCTTTAAGACAGTTGGGGCTGGGGAGTTCAATCAACTGATCCCCTTCCTAGGGTCCCTCTCTGCATTGGCCATTGTGCTCCCAGCCATTTTGGCTCTCTAGAAATGTGAGTTTCCATGGCCTTGCATGCTAGGAGAAAGGTGGGAGCCCAGCATGAAGCCATGAAGCCAGTGTTTGCTGAATGACCCTGGAGAAGGGAGGTGCTGAGCGGTTGAGGTGGTGGCTTCTCTTTCTTATATGTCATTATTGTGCTGGCTTTCCATCGAATATTTCAAAATGACACTTTTGCAATCAGGGTCATCTGACCTTGGCTGTTGGAAGGGATGGGCTGTGGCAGCTTCTGGGGGGGGAGACTCCTTCCATCTCCCTTTCCTCACTGCCCCCCCTCACAGTTCCCATGCACTCGATGGAGCCATGGGACCCCCGTTTCTGTCCCTGCCTTACAAGGTGAACGTGAGCCCATGGGTTGCCTTTCTCCTGAACTCATTTGCTGCGGACTGCATTTTCCAAGTTGGAAGTGAGAAGCGTCTCTGTTGCCAGGCGGCTTTCAGCATTTCTCCTACAGAGGTGGGCACGAGCCCCAGCAGAGACCTGCGAGGGGAGGGCTTCTGAGAGTGGTGGGCCTGGTGAGCCCAGAGGACTGTCTTCATTTTCATGGTGTTGTTCTTGGCTAAGAAACCCAGGCAAGCTCTCCAGCTTTTTGAAAATTTGCCCCACTTACTCTGAGAAGGCATCTGGACCCTGTCCTGGGGCTCCATTTCATTCCTTTTTGCCTTTCGTTGTTTCACTTTTTAAAAATACATTTCTCTTCATTTCAGCTGAGTCATTTTACTCTTTCTCCTCCTCCTCCTCCTCCTTCTCCTCCTTCTCCTCCTCCTCCTCCTCCTCCTCCTCTTGACACTCCCGGGAGCCAGAAGGAGCCCTGTCCCGAATCCTTGGCTCCTGCAGGCCAGATCTTTTCCAAATGTCAAACTCTTAGGAACCTTGGCACAGAGCAGAGTGGGCTCTGGCCCTAAATCTCTTTCCTCCCTCGTCTTTGTCAGGCTCTGCTTTCCTGTCTCAGTAAAGAGGTTTATTAATTAGCTCTTCTGTGCAACGTTTGCCTTGAAGTTTTCAGAGAAAGCCCTGGCAGGAAGGGCCCTCTGCTCCCTGGCGTGGGCCTTGGTGCTGCCTGGTGGAGCTTGCCACATGGCACTCCTCATGGAACTCAGCCTGGTGAGAGCACCATGGGGCTGCACAGGGGCTTCTCAGGGTCCAATTGCCCACCTGGGACAGGGGCTGGGACTCGCTCAGGGCTCCCCCTTAGCCTCCAACCCCTCATGCACACTTCAGGCAAAGTCCCACCCTGCGGGGCTGGCCCCTCTGTCTGTTCCCTTAGAGACTTTTAGCCTGCCCCAGAAGGAACAGGACAGAGCAGAGAGCATGGGGCAGTTCATTCCATCCGTGATCTTGACTTAGGCCACTGCCTTCTGAAATGGCTGGGAGAAATAATCACCATTCTTTACGTGGCATTTCATAGTCTTCAAAGCATTTCCTAGGCTTTGTGACTTTTTATATCGCTTAAGTCATTTTATCTTCAACAGTCCCCCATCCCCCTGAGGAAAGCAGGGTAGCTGTTAGTTTCCTTATTTTGCAGCTGAGGAAACAGGCTCAGAAAGTTGAACTGATTTGCCAAGGTCTCAGGGCCAGTCCTGATTTCTTTTTTCAGTCATTATTTATATTTCTTTTTTATCCCCAAAGAGATTTACCTGGTGCAAGATGAGTAGGTGGCTGGATTGGTACCCCTGTCCATGTCTCCTGACTCCAAAATTACAGGCTTCCCAGTGATTTTCAATTCCAACACCCTCTCACTGATTCTATGACATGTTGATCCCTCATACAAGGATGCAAGGATATATTTGCTTTCCAAGTTAAAGTAAATTCAAACTCATCTGATTTGACATTTTGGCACCCTTTTAGACAGAGGTTTCATTCATTCATTCATTCATTCATTCACACTGAGCAATGGCAGGGCTGCTGGGAATACAGGAAACTGTGTTCAAAAAAATGACACAGCCTCTGTCCTCATGGAGTTTAGAGGCTGTAGTACTTATAGTCCCAAGGGTGAAAACAAAGCTCAGATTTGAAGAGTACGCTGTAAGATCCTCCAGCCTGTCTTGGGAGAAGCCAGTCACTATGGAAGAAGTGAGGCTACCTCAGATGGTCATGCTCTGACAGGCCTTGGGGGATGAGGGGCCGCAATGGGACCTGTGGAAGAAGAGGTGGAAGGGGAGAAGAGAGGAGCCTGGTCACCCAGGCACCGTCTTGAGGAGGCCATCTTGGAAGTGGATCTTCCAGCCCCGGTTGCCCCAGCCACCACCGTGTGAAGAGTCTAACCACCCTTTCCAAACTTCTGGCCTATAAAATTACGAGCCAAATAAAATAGTTGTTTTATATCTACTAAACTTCAGGGATAGTTTTGTTACATAGCAATAAACAACTGGGACAGAATTCTAGGGACTGATCATTCCTTCCGAACAGAGCCCTCTTTGGAGCCCTCAGCCCTTTGCAGAATATTATTCATACCTCGGGGGACAAGCAGACGGTCCTCATTCTCTTTAGCATGCCACTGCTTTTTACATGTACATTCCCCCTCAATTTTAAAAACCATAAAAATTCCTGGAAATTATCGAATGGGAAATGGAACCAGCTGATTCTCCTCATTACCTTGTGAACAATAATCTGTCTCTGCTGTCACTGAGAATTCCATGTAGGAGCTTTCCCTGTTTCTCCCAAGTTTTAGCTCACTCAGGCAGGCCTGCTGTTCAGTGGTGGCAAGGTGATGACAGATGCTAAGGTGCCGTGAGATCTGAGTTCGTCTTGGTGTGGAGTCCATTTCATGTACAAGTCTAGGTTGCTTTTGTGACTTTTTTTCTGTACTCTTTGGGAAGTGACTTTTTTTGTTGTTCTTTGTGGGGAATGATAAAAACTGAACTGCTTATGCAAGCAGCAACACAGGACTCCCAGCCCAAACTTCTATTGCTCTTTTCTTCTCTTCTCCACCCACAAAAAATAATTCACATAAAAACGATTCTCTGGCCAGGGCTTGTCCCCTCCTCAGCAGGGGCTTTTTTTGTTGTTGACTTTAGAACCAATATGGAGTTCTGTGTCCAGATTTTGGGGTGCATAGATCCAGCTTCCTTTGGAAACTTTGCTTAAATCCCAGCATATTTGGAAGCTCTTGGCCTTCTCCTCCCGAAGCCTAATAATTCCAGAACGGTTGGATTGGAACAACCCCAGGGCTTAGGGGGAAGTCGCTGCATTTCTGAAGTCATTTGGGTGAATTTAACCCATGTATTCATGCGTGGGGTGTGAGAAGACAAATCAGAGGGATGCATTTGCCTCTGAAGCTAGAGCTCACTAGCCTTGTGACTGGCTCCAGGCATATTAAATGTCATGAAGCCTCTGTTTCTTTGTCTTTAAAATGCGTTTCAGAAATAATATCCCTAAAGCACCAGGCAAAGCATGGAGCACATCATGGGTCCCCAGGAATCTGCACCTGTTGTGGTGAGAGTGATGGTAAGTTTGGAGGAGCCTGGCTTCTTAGTGAGGAAAGCCTCAGCTGCATGTTTCACAAAAGCCAGACGCTCCCTAAATGCTTTCCCAGTGGTGCATGAGAAGACCTTATAAAAAATTATCCACATGCAAAGAAAAGTGAAGAGGCTCCACGACTCTCCTGCTTTCCTTATTGGAACCAAAATTTGAGTCTCTGCAGAGAGCAAAGGTGAAAGCATTAATTTTCCTTTCTGTTTTGAAGCAGAACTCCTTGGAGGTCTGGAACTATAAAAGTAAGAGTATAATTATTCTTTCCCCAAGCCTTGTGTAAAATTGGAATAACACTGATTGGTTTAAATTAAAAGAAAGTGAAGGTTCTAAGCCTGAAGTAGGGGAAGGTGTGCAGGCTTAGGAGTCCTGATCTGGGTTTGAGTTCAGACCCAACCCCACTCACTACTCACGCAGTTTGGGACAAGTCTGCACCTCAGTTTCCTCACCTGTAAAATGGGGATAATACCTATTATTTGTGGGACGTACTGAGCCTGAGATCATGCATGCAAAATGCCTATTGTGGTGCCTGCCATGTAGTGGGTACACCAACAGTGGCATAAATCCCATAAACCAAGGGCTCCAGCTCTTTCTGGTGTCGTGAGCAAGAGCTGGGGAGGAGGCAGTGGGCTTCCCTGCATGTGCCAGGACACTCAGTTGTTAAGCTGGTGGGGTGTCTGCTGCAGGCTCAGTCTGAGAGAGGGGTTGGCCAGGCCACAGGGGAGACTCAAAGGTGAGACCAGAGTGAGCCTTGAGGACCTCCCTAATGGGATGTGGGGGTGGCACTTCCAGGCCAGCTGCATGAAATGTATTCTTCTCCTTGTCTGGGTGACTCAGGCAGGGACTTGGACAGAATCCTTCTGATGCAGGCGACCCAGGGTGGTCTTCTTTATCTGGTGCCCCTCCCTGTAGGTTGAACATCACAGAAGAATAGGATTCTCTTGACACAAAAGCTCACTTGCTCACAGCTGTCCCCCTGAGCACTGGACACCAGTAACCCTCTCAGACAATGATGCTACTCAAGTGGAAGTCATTTATTTAAAACTTTTATTAATGCTTCAAGAAAAAGAATGCAATGTGGCAATGTACAGGTCCTGTTGCCTAAACCCATAACAGAAATAGATATTATGACTTAGCAAGGTCACGTGGTGCCAATTCTGAGATCGGATGGGGTTGTTCTTCCTAAGGAAGTGGCCACTGGAAGCATTGTTTTTCCATGCTATTTTCACAAAGACTTTTACTTGGTTCGAGTTTAAATTTCTCCCTTTCTGTGTGTATGAGTGTAGTTCTGGCCTGGAGTTTTCTATTTATTTAGTTTTAGATGTCAGCATTTTACTACACTTGGTCCTCTCACTTCAGAATAATAGGGCTATTTACTGATACAAAGGAGAGGTGTTCAGATCATCTTGTTAAGATGCAGAACTCAAAATAAACATCAAATCTTTATTTGGAGATCCACATCCTTCCTCAAAGGAAGGCTCATGAGTAAATTTGTAAGCAACATAAAGCCCAAGCAGAGGGTGTATTTTTAACGATGGCTTTGCTTACATTTTAGATTGTGCAAATGTCTCAATCAATGCTTACAGGAATTTGGACCTCCCTCGGTTTTGAGCAGAAGACCCTGAGCAATCAATACTATCATATGCTTCCAATCTCATGAGGGACAAGACTGAAATGCTATCTACCTGACTTCCGAGAAGAAGACAAACCAGTGGCATGAAAAATATACAACAGAGATCAGTAAATGGGTTCGAATGAACATAGTAAGCAATTTTATGCCTTAGAATCACGAGGCTAAGAGATTGAGAGAGAATAAATACAAACGACAAATATATACAATAGAAGCAACAAATGGGACATCAGTAAGCAAACACATAAAACATTTACACCGAGGAAAATGGAAAAGTGATGCCTTTCACACATCCAGTCCAGGAGCTGGGGGACAAACGAACAGCTGACTCAGCAATGTGGGAGAAAGTTACTGCTTTAGCTTTTGAGTGATGTTAGTAAAACCGTCAACGTGCCTGCCTGCCGAGGTAGCTCACTGCAGGAGACAGCCGCAGTTTACACTTGTTCCCTTGGCAGAGCCTGACACATCAGTCCTCCTCCCACCAAGGGCGGAGCTGGATTAAGTGCACCAGCTCTTCTGTTCTCTTCTCTGCAGACCCAGATCTTGCTGGGTGCGGGGGGACCAGGTGGCGGGGCTGAGGGCAGGGTTTCCTCCCCTCCCCCAACTGATGATTTCCCCACTTCCTCGTTTCATGGACCATGAAAGACTGGGATTGGGTTTGGGACATAAAAATACTGGCTGTGTTTTGGGTGAACACATTCCCCGGGAACTAGTCATTTTACAGCAGATATACTTAGCTTCTTGGTATCTGGCCTCAGGTTGCTTTGAGGAAAAGCTAATGAGTTGACAGATAAGGATGCATGCGCTTTTTGGCCCACTCACTAGAACAGAGATTAGCAAACTGCGTCCTGTGAGTGAAATTCAGCCGGGGGCCTGTTCAATAAATCTTCCTGGAGGGAGCCAAGCCCGCTTGTTTGTGTGTTGTCTATGGCGGCTTTTGTGCCAGGACGGCAGAGTTGAGTGGTTTCGAGACACCTTATGGCGCACCAAGCTGAAAATACTGGATTCACTATCCGGACCTTTATAGACAACGTTTGCAGACCCCTGCTCCAGAAGAGCACAGTCCAGGATACCTACTCCATGTTTAATATCAGCTTCTGCTTGAGAAAGGATAAGCTTTAATCTGATAGCTTATTAGGAAGAAAAGACCTATCTAGGTGATTTTTGTTTTGTTTTGTTTTTGAGACAGAGTCTCACTCTGTTAGCAGGCTGGAGTGCAGTGGTGTGATCTCAGCTCACTGCAACTTCTGCCTTTGGGGTTCAAGTAATTCTTCCTCAGCCTCCCGAGTAGCTGGGATTACAGACGCCCGCCACCATGCCCAGCTAATTTTTTGTATTTTTAGTAGAGACGGGATTTCACCATATTGGCCAGGATGGTCTCAATCTCTTGACCTGGTGCTCTGCCTGCCTCAGCCTCCCAAAGTGCTGGGATTACAGGCAATAATGCAAGAACCCACTACTGAGACCTTTAATGAGTATCCTCACCCTCCCTTCCTCATATTTTGAGTTCTGTCTCTTCGCTCTACCTTTCTTTTGTCCCACTGGACTCCTCTCCTTGTTGCTGAATTTCCAATTAGGATCTAGAAAATCCTGTCCCTTAGAGATTTTCAGCAGTCTCCTTGATTTTATTTAAAAGGTCAGCATTTCCTGATGGGAATTACTAAGCAGTCTTCATTCTCTTCTTTCCTTTCCCATCCTCTCAGATGGTGAAGCCAGGTTTCCAGCTGGGCCTCCTGGAGTTGCCAGGACGCAGCTTTACCAATCTTGGCTGAGGGTCAAGATGAGATAACAAAATCCTAAGGGAAATTTGTCAAATGTACTCCCCATGTGTGCATTTTCCTCTGGGCATAAGGTTTCCCCCAAGTGGGCAGGAGTCCACGTCAGGCAGTCAGATGTATTGCTATGTCGCTGTTTGATAGCTTTTAAAATAGAACTTAAAAAAAAAAAAAATCAGCCTCAAAGGATGGGCAGTTTTTAAAAAATCCCCTTTGAGCTGGTTTTAATGACCCAGTTGCTTTGTTTGAAAGCCATTTATTTAGATGACAGATATGTAGATATAACTGGACAAATAAAAAAGTGAAATGGAGATTTGAAGCAGTGGTAAAAATATAAACTCATAGGGGCCGCTCCCTTGGACAGTGTGCCCCCGCCCCCAGCCCAGACAGAACAATGGCTCAGAAATTACACAGAGAAATGACACTCCTCCCACCCCTCCCCCCGCCCCCACCAAGAGCTCTGAACGGCAAGGTCCCATGCAAGAAACTTAATTTCAGTTTGGCACCAAGCACCCCCTCGGCCCTGCCTCCTCTCCACCCGTGTCTTGCATTCTAAGCGGTATTTATTTTTACATTCACTCCTGTCCTGGAATCCAGCCACCCTGACTTCGTGGAGACAGCACCAGAGGCTGCTGCACCATAAGCTTTGGGGCGGTGCCCGGCACCCACTGTGTGGTCCAGCCCCGGGGGTCCTGCCTTACCCTGCCCCTCCCGGTTCACCTCCCCCAGTACAGAGCAGCCACCACCCATTTGCTCCACAGATGGAAAGAAGACAAAGATACAAGGATAACGCGGGGGCGCTTCCTTGAGTATGTGTAAGTGCAGAATTCACCAGGCACCCCCGAGACCCCGTGGCCCCAGAGGTCTCCATCTCACCTGTCCGTTCCGAGAACACACACCTCCATGAAGTCTACAGTCCCCACAGAATCCTGCATGTGACATCCCCCCGCTCTAATGGTAAATGTTTTGGAATGTCCATAGATAAGAAAATGGACGGCGCAGAGGAAAGCTTTCGTCGCCAGGCCTTTCGTTTCACCTCCGGATATCAGAATACTCGGACTGTTCATCCTCCCACTCGCTGCTTCCAGAAGGTCCCTGGGCCCCAAGGCCCCCGACTCTACCTCGAGCATGGGGGTTTGGGTGGCTCTTGCTACCTCTCTCGCCCTTGGTGCCTTGGCCGGTCTCCCTACTGCTGGGTTCTGGGAGATGATGTCCTGCTTCCCAGTGGTGGGCCCTGGAGAGCTTGGCTGTGTCCATGTGGGGCTGGCGTTCGGGGAGCTCCGTGGGGGGCCTCTGGATGGCGGAGGTGCAGAAGCTCAAGATGGAGCACAGACTTCCCCAGTTGTGCTCACACTGAGCCTGCACGCTGTGGGTGATGGCCTCCTTCACCTCCTCCCCACAGGTCAGCAACAAGTTCACGAGGTCCAGGTAGGGTCTAAAGGTTGAAAGCAAAGATTGAGAGAGAGAGAGAGAAAGAGAGAGAGAGACAGAGAGAGAGAGAGAGAATGGAGCAAGTCCTGAACAGACCACAGAAGGCAGAGGTGATGCCGGGAAAGAGGCATGGACAATGCTTGGCTTGGGTTAGGTGGAAGAGCTCTCTCAAATGACTTCAAGCCTTTTCTCACTTGCTATAAAGTTCTGGTGGCCACTGTGTTCCAGGCTCATAGGTGCATAGGGTAAGAGCTTAGGGCTCTTAGGATGAGAGCTTAGGACCCTAAAAGGAAGAGTCTCTGGGGAAGGTGAGGACTCTAGGTGCCTCTATGAATAATGACAGGAGGGCAGGAGAGCTCTGGGTGGGTTTAGGCTACACTAACTAGGTGAGTTTCAGTTTGAGTGGAGATGGCTCTGGGGTCCAGTGGAATCATAATTAGGCAAATGGTGCAGGGCCTTACATAGACTCTCAAACAGGGGATTCTTTTTGGTAGGGAAGGGGAAGCCAGGAAGGTTGAGGGCCATGTGCCTTCTATGAGAAGCTCCCAAGAAACTGTTTTCCCATGTCTGTGTTTGCCTGGGGTTTAGGCTCACGATAAAGACGGGTGTTTTTGAAGTTATTGGATGCATTTCCTCTACATCTGGAGGAGTCTGGAAGAGCTGAAGTGGGAGGTAGGAAGACCACCTTCCTGGGACGTCACTGCCCATACATTCCCTCTCTCAGTAGTAGAGGCTGAGGAGTGGGTGTGGCCATCTACACATCTTTATTCTTTCAGTCTGAGCTTCCCTGGATTTGGAGGTGAAGGTTGGTGGTCAGGGCCCCCTGTGTTTGTGCGACCAACACACCTAGTTCTGGAGGGCAGAGCCAGTTGCTCAGGCCATTCTGGCTGTCTTAGGTTGTTCTTTAGGGAAACTGCTGGAAGAAATGATTCTGGGGGTGGACAAGGTGTGTAGAAGGCAGGAGCAGTGTGCATCTGCTTTTTATATTTACAGGCCCATCTGGTAAGGACTGTCCACAGCAACGGGTCACTCATTGAGCTTTTTTTTTTTTAACCTCTCACTGGTCTTTAAACCGCCCCCACCAAAGGGGGTATAGAATGTTTCATGCGGCTAACCAGCATTCCTAGTCAGTCCTCACTGGCAAAGTTTCTGATCTATCTGACCACAAGCATTGCAGCTCTGGGCCATTACCCTGAGCAGGGAAGTCACCCTGGAATGTGAGGTCGTTCATAACAAGGAGCAACCTGATTTGTCCTCCTTAAGCCTGGACTGCCAGAGAGGCTGTGTTACAGCCTATAACCCTTTCTTTGCAAGTTGGCAGTTGTCGATATGTGGATAGAGCAGATTGTGTTTTGAGAGATGTGCAGTTGTTTACTGCAGTTTTATTAATTAGTCCTCAAGTTGAAATTGAGTCCTCACTTCATGGATGCAAAAAAAAAAAAGAAGAGCGGGGAGAAGGTGGCTTTTGGAAGCTTCTGGGCTTCAGGGTCCAGGGCTGGGCTGAGAGCAGAGCAGAGAGGAGGAATGTTCTGGCTGATAGAGATCAAGCTGCTTTTCAGGGCCTGCTTGATGACTTTGGAGTCAGCAAGTCTGTGCGTGGAGGCTGAGCAAAGGGCTTTGAGCCCTCTAAGGCAGGCCCCTGACAGTGCAAGACAACCTCACACTGTCTCCTGGGGTTGTCCGGAGGTGAGAACGCAGGAGGCAAATGCTCCATGCGTGTTTGTTTCCTTCTGTTTCGTGAAAACTAGAACCTGCCTCTGGAGCTCAAGTTCACTGAGTGTATCTGCTAAAGCGGCAGCAAGATTATAGCACCTGACTGTGCCTGCCTCAGCCCCAGGGCTGAGTATCTGTCTTTCTGAAATACTAACTGGATTGGATGCTGTCTTCAAGCTCCTTTCCCCGGAGTAAGGGGAAAGCTGTCTTGGGAATATACAGATGGCCTCTCTTTTGCCTCCTTGGCCAGGGAGTTCTGTCTGCCAGATGAGCCCTCAGAAGCCCAAGGCCAATCTGGATCTGAGAAGGCTGGACGAGCCCACACTCTCCTCTGCCCTTGGCCCTTTCTCAGGAGGAGGAAGCTGTGAACTGCGGGGAGGGGTTTGTGTGCCGAACCAAGTTCATCTAAGCCCTGTTCTGAGCTGGCATGGTGCCTTCTCAGGCTGCAAGCTCAGCCCGTGTCTAATGACAAAGTCTAGCTCATTCAACTGGGTGTCAGCAAGGCTAAAGGATTTAAAAAAAATACTTGGAGGGGGGTGTGCCTGGGGACTGCCAGCACCCAGCGACACAGTGAGTGGGGGCCAGGGGGCCGAGGCAGGCTGGCTGCAGCTAGGGGGAAACAGATGCTGTGCAGAAAGTGGGGCAGGCAGGAAGGGGCGAGGGGAGCAGGGAGGAAGAGCTTGAAAAGAGCAGCATTAACTGAGGGTGAGTGTTCTGGTGTGGTGGGGGTTGGGTTGAAGAATGGGGGTGGTACAGATTCTGGGGTGACTGTGATTTCTCTTCTCTAAAATAAAAAGCAAATTCTGGAGGCTCTCTCCTTTTTTTTTTTTAACCAATGCCACACATTCGGAAATGGCCTTCTTGATATTTGGGGACCGATAGGATACTTTAAATCAGTTAAGATGGCTGGAGAAAAAAACAACTGAAAAACAGGCCGTTCAGCCAGAAGTGCAGCTGATGCACAGCCACATCACGGATTCAGAAGGAAAGGTAATGGGGGTTTTTGGGAAGCTGGAGTTAGGGGAGACCCTTGCCTAGAGATGCTGACTTAGCGGGAAGCTTGGTGGTCCTCTCGCTTCCTAGCCATGGGGCACTTACCTCTTCCACAGGCACCTGAAGGAAAGGAATTCTAGAGTGTTCTCCTTGTGTAGTGGGGATATATTTGATAAAAGGAAAAGAAGCCCACCGTATGTGGGGAGCTGTGAGCCCTTTCAGGTCTAGCAGGGAGGGGATAGGCCAGGAGCAGCTTTGAAGTCTATTCCTGACAATTGGCTTTAGTCGTGTATACCAGCAATTCCAAAGCTAAAAAGCAGGAATCAAACCTCAGTGCCAGTTCTCTAATCTCTTAACTTCACTTTCCTCCTTTTGGGCATAGTGATTTCTGTCTGGTAGCATCTTTGGGAAAGATAAATGAGAAGACCCCTGTAAATGCCCTGGCCAAGGGCCTAGCACATTAGAAAACATGACAGCTATCATTGTTGTTGATGATGCTGTGGCTGCTATTGCTCCTTTACAAGTATTTGAAGAATAAAAAATATTTTATAAGGTATTAGCCTAACTCAAGGAAATGCAACATTATTTTGCTTTTTGCCAGAGCTTCCTGCAGTTTCGCCCGGACAGGGACGGTTGCAAGACGCCTATGACCTTATAATCAAGCAGAGAGTGACAGGAGGTGGTTGCTGTCCTTTGTCATCTAAGTGGTGTTGATATTGATAGGGACATAGCTGGAAGAAGGTTGTGGCATAAACCGAGGAGCAAGAGTTCGTACAGTTATACTGATTTGGCTCAATGAGTCACCATGGAGAGACCAACAGTGCCATCAAACTGGTAATGGCTTATACTGAACTGGCTTGGTGAGTGGCTTTCTGCCCTGTGTCTCTGAGGAAAGAACTATCGTCAATATTAAAAAAATATATTCAGGGGTGCCCGGCCTTGCCTCATGTTAGAAACAACTGTGTACCAATGTGCTTTATCATGCTGTAAAATTTAGGATCCTCTAGCTGGGATATTTTATAAGGAATGAGATGCATCCCGAATTTGTCATTGAATTTCAAGTCTTCAAATAAGTAAGTTCACATTTCCTTGTTTTGGCATAAAAGTATTTGGCTGATTAAAGTTTTTGCCATTTGTTTTGTATTTTTTCTGGGAGGGCACCAATGTGTTAGAGAAGGTGAACCAAACCTTCTAAGGGAAAGGAAAGTTAAGGAGGCAGGAAAAGCATCGAGAGCTCTGCTTTTGGCACTTAAGAGTATAGGTTCTGGAGCCAGACTGCTGGGTCCCAAGCCTGGCTTTGCCTATCACTAGCTGTGTGTGTTTCACCTTAGTGAGTCTCAGATTTTTCATCTGTCAAATGGAGGTGACAAGGGCTGTGGTGAGGATCAGGTGAAAAAGTCACAAGGAGCTCTTAGCCCAGTGCCTGGCACTTAGTAAAGAATCAACAAATGTTATTATCAATCTGCTGTCTGTAAGGACACCTCTACAGCTACTCAGAATAGTCAGAGAATAATGGGTTCTTGGCTAAGGGGAAGATGAAGAGCATTTTTGAAATGACATATTTCATGCTTAGTAAAATGATTTCCCATTTCTGTTGCTTGTGATTTTGGGACTGATGAGAGAATTCTCTTTTTCTAAAAACCTGCAGGAAAGGAGCCTTCTAGGAGAGTCAGTGTAGCTTTCCGAAGTAAATGGAAGCCTTCTCCATTTGTCAGGCATCCAGCCTCTAGAAGCAACGTGGCTCTCCTCCCATACACATTGCCATCCTTGCTGGGCAGCCCCTCCACCCCAGGCCCTCTGCGGGGCAGTACTTACTCCTGCAGCAGCATGTCCTTGAAATGGATCATCTCCACTATCACCTGGGTGTTCTCCTGGGCCACCGTGCACAGGTCGTGCTTGAGGTAGCATTCCCGCTGCAACTGCAACACCATTTCCCGGATGGCTGGGCACTTCCGGCTTATGCAGCCGAACCTGTGCCGCAGAGCGTGGGCCTTACATTTCAAGACGTCTTTGATGAATGACTTGCCCTGAGAACACACAGGCCAGGGAAGGGAGAGGGGGCAGAGAGCAGTAGTCCTTGTTACATGCTTGGACATTTAAGCCCTTTTTGAGTGTACACAGGATGTTTCTGACATCGAAACCCCAAGGCCCCACCTGAGATGGACATCCTCCCAGGTGACAGGCAATGCCACATAAGGAGGCATGTCCAGAGTGACAGGACAGCTCCAGCACTTGGCGGCAAGGGATGTTCATTCTGTAGACTAACACCTCTCCCTTCTTCCTCCCCTGCTACTCTGTGAGTTTCCCTCCAACTGGGCTTCCATGGGTATATGTCCCTCAAGTAGCCCCATGTTGGTTCAGCGTCAACTTTTCTGGAACACAAAGGGAATTTGGCCAGATACAAATTCATAAATCCTTCACGGTTCTCAGAGAGCAGTTTTCCCTAAGAGGAAGGTGCCTGTTTGTCCAAATCTCACACTTTTCCTTTGTCCCTTGATTCCAGGAGCAACACCAAGACTGAGTGCTGACTGTGCCTCCCTTTCTGCCTCAGTCCCTCCCTCAGACCCAAATCCATACCTTGTCTCCTCCCACCCTACCAGGAAGAGTGTTCTTTTCCTTTTTGAAAATGACTCTACTCCTTTAAACTGTTCGGATTATTGCCTCTAAAAGGCTGGCCTGGCACCCTGCCTGGCAGCATCTGGAGTCTGAACTGCCGCACTGGGGGCCCCTCCCCCACGCTCCCTGCCTCTGAGTGGTGAAGGCAGCCAGGCATACATCTGGCCTGCATTTCTCTTTCCTGGCAACCCCGTTTGATTGTGCTTACCCTAGAAAGGAGACAGCTGTTGGGGGTGTGAGGGGAACTTGGTGCTGCTCCCTTGTCAACCTCCCACAGCCTGTAGGCATTGTGGGATGCTTACTCAGGAATCCCCGCACCCCACATTACTATAGAAACGAGCTGTCAATAGAGAGGTCATCCCTCTGTTTTTAGACAGGCCTGGAAGTCACTGAGTTGAGAAAGTAAACGGGTTTAGGTTGGAAGCAGGAAGCTAGCCAGCGCATTTATTTTGGTTCTCTTCTTTAGCAGCCATAGAAATGTCTACAGATAGCGTCTGATCTCTGAAAAACCATGTGGCCCAGGCACCCTCCCCACGGCCCCCTCTTTTGACTCTCCAGCCAGAGCCAAATGGAATGGAGGGCAGGGTGTGCCCATTTATTAAGCAGTTGTGCTGAGCATCGACTTGAAAGGGATGCCTCTAACTTGAGAATATATTCTTGTTGGTTGAGAAAAAAAAGGAAGATTAATTTCTGCGAGGGCTGTGGCCATCTGTGCTTGGTATTCTTCCCTGACCTCCTGTAGGATTGCTGTTAAAAACACATCTCTCCTCTGGATTTCCTATTATGTTTCCTAATTCCCGTTAATCCAGAATGATGCTTTATTAGGGAGCCTCGAGGAATTCAAAGTTGTACCTCTTTCCGATCCTGGTTTCAGTTTTCTCTCTGGCCACTGCACCTCCTCTGCAGTGCAGGCTGCTGGCCCCGTCATCGCCTCCCCTCCTGGTTCCCAGGCACTGCTTTGTCAGGCTCACTACTCCATGTCAGTGGATGGTGACTGGTGACATCCATAAATCTCACCTAAACTGATGGCCACCCTTTCCAATAAACTGAGGGAGAGAGGTTTCTGAGATATAGTAACGGGGTTTCCCCAGGGCATATAAGCAGCCAGGGAGAACATGAAGTAGGTGAGCCTAGTGCCATGCCACATATCATCTAAAAATGTATTTGAGCTGTCAGCACTGGAGCCATAAGGTTGCTTGTGGTGTTCCTACCCTGTCCTGAGCATCAACTCAGCGTTCCCCTTGGGACCCTGGGATAACTGAAGTGGGTCAGGCCTTGACTATATTTATTATATAGAGCAAAAGGGAAGTGTGGAATTGAAGGACTCAATCAGGGTTTTGACCTGTCAGGTTTGAAGAGAAGGATCTGCTACTCAGGAGGAACGGAAGTCTGCCCTTTTGGACGTCCTGAGTTATTTGGGTTGCTAGCACACATACCACATGATGAATTTTTACACACTTTTGTCTCATTTTCCTAGCAGGTGAAAATGGCTTTTGAAATGTATGATTGGGTGTTCCTGCCCCTGCACCTCATGCAGTGGGCTTTGGGGATGAAGTTCTTGGTGGCCAGACACAGCATGTCCCCTTACAAGGTGTTTATCACTTATTATGACATTGGTCTCCAGTCCACCCTGTCTATGAGCTTATGAGGGCAGAAGGGAGACACTGGCATAATGTTTTACACCTAGACTGCTGCTTGCAAGCACTAAAACACACCACAAGGAATAGCAAAGGAAGTTAGTTAACAAGGCTTTCTAATGAACATTTCAATCATGTATGCCCACCCCAAACAATCTTCACGCTCTGGAAGGATTTTTACCTGGGCATCAAATTTTCCAGCGTTGTGCAGAAAAGTCATGCAAATTCCATGTAAGCCCCGAATCTCACAAGAGTTGTTCTCGAAACATTCAAACATGCCACACCCCACATCGCCAGCTTTGACCAAACAGTGCTGGATCTGCGCTAAAAGGAAAATCACATACAAATAATATACAAAACTCTGACCCATGCTGGACAATGCAGAGAGGTCATTTGAAATAAAAGTAACAAGGAAAATTTAAGGAGGAAAAAAGAGTTAGTAATGACGATTTCAGGACCTGCGAAACAAAATTTCGTCCTTTAATCTACTCATGAAAAATGTCCCTGTTTGTAAATATTTGTAGGAAGGAGCCAAAAAATTACAAAAATCATAACCAGAAGGTTGGTCTGAGCATTCCTCCGTTTCATCTTTCCATTTTATTAAAGTGTGTGTGGGAATACTTAGTTTGAGAGCAAAATATATTCCAGCTTTTTAAACCCACAGATAAAAATAAAGTTGAAGACTGTGCTTCATCAGTGAAGTACCCTTCTCTACTTGATCTGCAGAAGCTGCTATTAAATCACAGCCATTTCCTTCCTGACACCCAAGTGACAGCATCTAAAAAGCAGTTGCAATTCAGCTTTATGATTCAACACCTAAAAATCAAAACAAAATTCCTATTAAGGCAGTGCCTCCCAACCCTTCACATTAAAATACCAGCTAGGGAAGCTGCGGTTGGCAAGCAGGCTTGGGAGTGGAGTTAGACGGGGGCCAGCCTTTAGAAACACCACTATCCACGGTTGCAGGCTCCTTTTAATTAGGCATAGGGATGAGATATCACTCAATCCCCTAGAATTCCCACAGCCTGGGAGCTGGCAGCTCTTCTTCACCAAATGTGGCCCCCGTTCCTCTCTCCGAAAGGACAGACGGAGGGAGTTAACTGTCAGGCTGCAGCGTGCAAGGCTTCTTTCCTCCCTCCCCACTACCCAAGTCTCTGATTTAAACCAACCACAAAATTACATCAGAAAAGTATTTTTTGGAAGAAGGGCGGGGTCGGAGCAGATAATCCGCATTCAGATTAAATCTAGGAAGCGAAGGAGGGGCGTGTATTATTGTTGAGGGTCACCAACCACCGATAATCAGGTTCAGTTCTCAGCGGAAGCTCCAGAGGAGCGAGAGGGTGGGAGAGGGTCTCGGGGTGGTGGGGGTGCCGGCCCCAGCATGTGGAGGTGACAGGCTCTGGAAGACCCTTCGCGCCGCCGGGGCAGGACTGCGCAGTGCCGAGATTCACTCTCTTGGGGCGTCCCTAATGGGCACTCGTGCTTTCCTACTCGTGCTTTCCTGCTCGTGCGGTGAGCGAGCGCACGCACGCCGCAGCCGCAGCGATCGCACGGCTCCCCAAAGTCGGGGGAGGTGGTCGTGGAGCGAAGGAGCTGTTGGCAGATTTTCTTTCTCGTTCCGAGCTGGGAAACGGGCCAGCCCCGTGCCCTGCACGCCTGGCTCTGCTTTGCAGCTTGCGGGTGAGCCAAGAGCAGGTCGAGCAGAGGAGGCGCACAGTTCGGGTCGTGTCACCATTTCTTGGCTTGCTGACCTGGCTAGGAGCTGGGGATGGCGGCAGCACAGTGGAGGTACGCTTTGCGCCACCCCCACGCTCCCTTCGGAAAGCAGTGCCCCCGGGGGAAAGTTCGCAATGCCAGCTGTCTCGCCCGCAAAGTTCTGGGATGTCGGGCAGTTTTTGAGGAGTGGGAAGACGCGGCGCTCTTACTGAGGCCGGCTGGCTGGGAAGAGAAGTTCGCTGGGTGCAGGGCGCAGCCTAGCTCCGGGGACCCCTGTGCCTCCCGCGTGCAGGCCGGGATGAAGCACGCTTTGCACCGGACCCGGGACTCGGGGGCGGGGGCTGGCGCTGGCAGCGTCAGACGCTGCTTCGTTTCCCCTCGACCCTGGGGAGGACAGCAACAAGTCCTGTCCCAGCCATTTCATCACCCTGCTAGCACGTACAGATTCCGGGCTCTCGGAACCCGGCGCGGACCTCGCCTTGCCTCGCGCTTCCCTTCGCACGTCCCGTGCCATCCCAAGAGTTTGGGTGGCCCTGGGTGGGTGCTTGGCTCCCGGCGAAACGCCTGGGGAGCGCCGCGTGGGTGCACGGTGCACTCTCCCAGCAGCTCCTGGCTGCGGGGGCGCCTGCACTTACCTGTATTCTGCAGGGACAGGCGGCCCTTCTGCTGGGAGCTTCTGTCTTGCGGACCTTGGAGTGGGTTGTTGGCGTCCGTCCCTCGCGCTGGGTCAAAGGTGGCCAACACAAAAACCAGGGTCACGAACTGGCTCAGCCGCTCGGCACACATGGTTCTTGGTATTAACCTACTACCAGGAGACCTGGGTCCTTTGTGCTCCCCTCCTCCTCTTTTTCCTTCCCCTCTACCCCTCCTTCTCCTCCTCTTCCTCTTTGCTCGCCTTTTCCCTCCTCCTTGCGGCTGCAGCTCGATAGAGGTTACACAGCGCCCTCCAGTAGCACTCGGGAGAGCATGTGACCAGGCCGTTAGCAGCGCCGCGAATGTCCAGCAATGGCAGGGATGGTGCCTCAAATATCCCTGGAAGCTCTGGTGTCACTTGAATGAAGGAGTCGAGCAGGTGTTGTCCCGGCGGCTGGACCAATCCGAGACCCCGGCCCTTTTGACAACACGGCCGGGAGGCGGGGCCTGCGCCCAACTACTACAGGAGGAAGCCGAGCTCCGCCGCGAGCGCCCGACAAAGTTGCCGACCTGGCGGCGGTGACGCTTTTGAGTGTGTGTGTGTGTGTGTGTGTGAGCGAGCGCGGCCGGAGATGCGTGCGCGTGTGCGGGAGCTCCAGGGCAATGGCCGAACGGGCTGTAGAATATAAAAGCCAATCCCAGCTCCAGTTGCAGCTAAAGGGGGACGGTCGGCGCTAGGACAGTGTCCCTGGGGCCCCTGGCTCGCGTGACACCCGCATCGGGTTGGGAAAGTTTTCTTTCCCCGCCATTTGAAATTCAGTGAGATTCCCAGCCCAGAGAACTTGGTAGATTGAAGCAATTTCCTGGGCACAGTGATGCTGTGGGCCAACTGAGCACACTTGGGAATTCCTGGCCTTGTGACAATTTGCATTAAAAAGAACCCCGCTATTGAAGACAGGAGCGGAAGCACTAGATATAGTCTTTGGGCTGAGCAACTGCACCTTATTCCCGCTTGGGTGGGCCGTGCAACACCTGGAGGGTGTTTTCTCATCCTTCCCCTAATCCCGACCCTATTCCAGGCTGGGCTGCAGGGATCTGGGTGACAGTCGGGACTTGCATCATTTCCAGGAGGGTGACAGGGAGGCCCAAGGCAGACCTGAGTCAGCCCGCCGCGGAGCTTCGCTTGCCCGGGAGGCCAGAGCTTGAAAGGCAACTTTACGCGTCTCCAAACACTCCTGCATTTTCTCAAAGCGCTGCCTGCCACCCAGCTCCGGGTTCCCTTTTACTCTCCAGTCATCGGACGGAGATGGTGAGAACAAAAACAAAGACAAAACAAGCTAAATCCAGGGAAATTACTTCTATCTCCTCCCTTTTCTTGTTCGACCCCCTCCCCAGGAATCGCCGGCTCGGGATAGCCCCGGCTACTTTCTCCCCCCGGCCCGCGGAGGGAAGGAGAAAGTTGGGCGCAGCGTGAAGCGCCTCTTCCCCTGCTGTGTGTGTACGTGTGCACGCTCACGTCTCCCCCGCGCCGGGGCCGGGGACAAGAACTGCTCTCGGCCCAGTTACCCCACGGCTCAGCCCGGGGGTCTCGTAGGGCAAGCGGAGGGCAGGGACGCGAGCGCCGGGACAGAGAGCCTCAGGGCACACACCCCCGGCGTTGGTGCGCTGTCGCCCCTCCCCCTCGTCCCCACCCTCCTCCAGGAGAGCAGGTGAGCCCGGGTACCAGCTCTCGATCCCCCACCTCCGCCCCGCGCGCCGCCCGCGCCCTCTGCAGTAATGCGCCTGGGAAGTTTCATCACCCACTGCCCAGGCGACGCGGCCTCGGGTCTCCGCGGCGGGGCGCACTGCCAGCCTGGTTGGGGCCTCCAGGTGACAGGGCTGGGGGAGGGGGTGCGGAGACCCGCCGAGGGCAGGTCTTTTGGCTGCCGCTTGGCTTCCAAAGCTTCCCTTCTCTGGGTCCCGGCGGAGGCGGGGGACCAGGGTGACCGCCGCTGGCCGCGGCTATCAGACGCGTGGAGCTGAGTCGGAAGGGAGAGGAGGGGGTGGGAAGGGCGCCTTCAGAGGGGGATTCCCCTGGGCTGGAGCACCAGGGAGCATCCATAAATGGTCACTTTGAAGGTCCGAACCTGCATAGGTGGGGAAAAACTCACCACTCATGTCCAGTATTCTAATAGTAATTACTCCCCGCAGCCTCGGATCTTTTGTGGAAGGACGGGCAGATACAAATAGATTAAAATGGGCAGTTCACATTGCCCACCCTGCTTTTGTTTGCATAGTTAACTTAGCTTCCTTTATTAGTTTATGGAAAAACACTTTTTGTAGATCATTATAAACAAAGCAAACAAACAACACAGCGGCATTCTGGTCTCTCCTAATTCTTTAAGGCTCTGAATTTCCTGAAGCCAAGTGGTCATTTGGTCCTACTCCTGCTTATGGATACAGTTTCACAGACTTTCTTTCTATGTGGCCTCTTTCATGTGTGAGAACGTGATTGAAACGGTTACCTGGGCACAGTGATGAGCAATATTGACTTTAAAAGGGCATAGGGTCACCTAGTTTTTTGAGAAATAGAAGTAGTAGAGAGCTCTAGGGGGCAGGAGCAAGACTTCCTTTGCCAGATGCAGACACTGAGTGTACTGGGCAGAGGCCTCTGAGGATACCTGGAGCAAGGGCCAAGCAGATTGAGTTCTCCTGGCTCTTGCTCTGCCCAGCCCCCCTGGGGCTGCCCTCAGAGGACCTACATAGTTCCAAAGTTTGTCCTGAGGCAGTTTGCTCCCACAAAGGGACATTCCTGATTTCCACCTCAGTCGACTGCCCCTTTAGAACTAAAAGAACGCATAGTAGCTAGAATTCAAGATGTTGTAAACACAGGCACTAATTCCTAAAGGTTTATCGCTAGGCCACTTAGCCAAGTCCAAAGCTTCCAGATAAGAATGCCCATCTCAGTGGGATCACCAGGGCTATGTAAATTCCCCTGCAGAATTACTAGGCAGTTTGCTGGGACTGCCAGTCTAGGCCACAGGGATAGAAGTGGGAATGGGGGCTCAGACTGGTGACTTTGTTGTGATTGATTCCCCCTCTCTCTGGCTGATTCCTTTAGCTCTGTAACTAGGGCCAAGTTTGGCAGACTGTGGCTGATGAGGGTGGGGCAGAGGACGGTAATAATTATCATTATTACTATTATAAAGCTAACATGACTTGAGAACAGACACCGTGCCACAGACCACAGCCATTGGTGTCTCTCCAGACCTAGGGCCTGCCCTAGATGGGAACTGAGACCTGGGAGGTCTCTTGGATGGGTCAGCTGTTGCTGCCCTGTGGTTCAGCATTGCCTGTCTAGATGGACCCTCCTCCTCAGTTTAATGCACACCCAGTCATGGAGAGGCACACCTAACTACCTTGTGTCATGCAGGGCCTTCTGTGGTTGATGCCTGGAGCCCATGTTTTCCTGTCTAAATCCACTTTGCTAGTTACATGCCGTCAACACTGAGTGGCAGGTTTTGGGGAGGGGGTATTTGGGTTAGACCATGAAGGATGGGGGAGGATAGTGACAAGGAGAGGCAAGGCAAAGAGTGGGCATGGCAGGTGGGAGGACCAGCAGGAGTAGATGCATGGAGAGGATCCGGTGGGATTTGTATCAGGAATAGGGGTTGCCCAGTGAGGTGTGAAAGTGGGACATCAAACTAGGGAAGTCGGCCAGGGCATGTTGTCAAGGCTGGGCCCCTTGTGACAAATCTGTGCTCCTCATGGAACATCTGACGGTATTTAAGGATGAGACAGTAGGGCACTTTGGACCTGGTTCTCTTTAGGAATTAGGAAATACTCAGAGGCCCAGAGCTGCCACTGTGGAGAAAGAGGAGAGGAGTGGGAAGGAATTAGTTGGAATCTTCATGTGCGTCTGGATGCCCAGCAAGACAGACATGTTCTTGCTCAGGTGTGAGCCGAAGGGGCTTTAGCGGATGGGCACAGTTCATGGGCACTGAGTCAGTGATGTGCAGGTTGACACATGCTGCCTGGTACAGGCTTTCTGAGTTCCGGAACCTGAGTGGAGAACATGGCTTGTACACGGGGAGCTCCGCCCACTGCAGGCCCCGCCCCCTCGGGGCTGACTGTCTGGGCTGATGGCACCACCTTATGGTCGGAGAGAAAACTGTCTGACCACACGGGCCTCAGGACTCTGCCTACCTGTAAGGCCTGTGGCTCTAATACTGGATTTCTAGCCTTCTTCCCAATTTTCTTACCTCTTCTTAGCAAATCAATTAATGCAGATTTAGCCAATTTCCTTGCAACAACATGCTTTAATTCCCCCATCAGAGAGATCTCTTTTAAACTTATTTTCCCTCTTGCTCCCCTATCCTTTGATGGTTTTCCTTTGTGAGCCTCAAATCTACCCTAATCTTGGCTCCTGTGCATCATACCTGTATGAAGGAAAATAAAAAAAGGGGTCAAGGTGAAATCGGACAGAAAAACATATCAAACTGCTGCCATCAGGCCTTCCAAATTATCTTGCAAGCAGAGTCTCTCCCTAAAAAGCCTCCGTCTCCCAGCACTTTGGAAGGCTGAGGTGGACAGATCGCTTGAGCCCAGGAGTTCGAGACCAGCCTACACAACATGGCAAAACCCTGTCTCTAAAAAAATACAAACATTAGCCGGACATAGTGGTATGTACCTGCAATCCCAGCTACTTGGGAGATTAAGGTAGGAGAATGGCTTGAGCCCAGGAGGTCGAGGCTGCAGTGAACAGTGATTGCACCACTGCACTCCAGCCTGGGTGACAGAGCAAGACTCTGTCTCAAAAAAAAAGCCTCTATCTTTTTTCATTAAACTGGTTATTTCATTAAATATGATTCAGAATAAAGGAGATTATATCTTCAATATTTGGGTTTGTTTATTAATACTATAACCAAATTACATTCTGCTCATTTATACCAAACAAGTGCAGTGCCCAACAACACTATGAGTTAAGAAGGATTTTGTGGGGTTGGCCTGTAAACCTATCATGCATAATATTGTTTCTTGGAAGAAAATATATTCTGAGTCCCCAAAACAACCAATTTTGGAGTGTTGGAGCACAACACTTTTGTGAATTGGGCATTTCCTCTCTGTTAACAGATCAATAGTCAAACCATTCATGGATTGACTGAAAATACAAAAGACAAACAGGATTGAGAAAAGAAAACCCAAGAAAGTGGGAACACTGTATCCCTCACAATAAAACCATTTACTGGAAGGAATATAAAGTAGTAAACACTGGGCATCTGATCGTGGTCTGAGTTTTGTTAGCGCCTTGCTCTGAAGCCTGAAGGCCTCTCTGTTTTACATAGGTCATAATTTTTGCTTCTTGGTTGTATCTTGAGAGGAACTCCAGGAGAACGTATTTCAGGCAAGGGGCTGCCTGGCTTCCATGGAGAGTCCTGTCTGGGCCCAGAGGCGCCAGGCATTGTGGTGCTGGAATATTATGATAGCGCTCTTCCTGGGTGGGTTTTAACTTTGATTTGAGAATGGTTAGACTTCAAGTGGATGAAGGAAGAGTCTTCTTGTGGAGCAGTTTTCTATGGAGCCAGATATTGAAAGCTTCAGGAAATGATCAAATCTATTAATGCGATTTAACCTTCAGTATGTTATCAGGGTCCATTGGACCCAATATCAGAGTTTGAAAGTTATTACTATGTTTTTCCTGAGAAGTTCTAACATTTTGTGAGGATTAGTATTTCATAACTTTTGTTTGTTTTTAGAAGTCTCTGAAGATGAAAGATAACATCTAGTTTTTAACAAAAATAGAGTAAAACTCATTCTATCTTAAAGTTACCATATGACTATTGAAATAATTTATACATTTATGATATGTCATAGGATCTTAGTGATCTTCATTTTCTTATATCTTTAAACATCTCTCATTTTATCACCCTAGAAATTATTTCATCATTACTCATCAATTATTGCCAATTATCATTAAAAAAACTAACAAGAAAATGGGAGAATGATGCAATCACCTGGAAGGATGAGGCAACAATGAAACAAATGATCACTATTGCATCATCCTTCCGTTTTTTTTTATCATATTGCCCAAAGTATAAAAGTATACTTTCATCTCTCGAGAAAGTATAAAAGAAGACAGAGGACATCATCGTTGGAGTCTTCTTCTTGCTTTCATTAAATAGAGTTGTAAATACAACTATATTTTTTCATTTTTCTGCACAAAACTGAAAAGAGAAAAGTGACAGAGGAAAATGTTGTACAATTATTAGTCAAAACAGAAGATGAATGCAAAGAGACAGCAGTTGGAAGGTTTTAAAGATGATGGTGAAACTGACTGAACTGTATAAGTGAAGTCTCAGGCTATGAGCCCTACATGATGATAACCTAGATTAGTTTCCTCAGATTTAAGGGTTTGTGAGTAAACAATATATTTCTAAGGACAACAAAAAATATGATATTCTTATCCTGTTAGTCATTCAATAGGAATGATTTCATCACACTATATTTTGCAGCAAAAACTTGGAGCTAAAACAATGGGGGCCAATTTGTTTTTACTTTTTACGTTCATTTACTGAACTTACTTGATACAGTTTGAAGGGGACAAATGATGAAGTCAGATCAAAGGTGAGTACAAAGATGATTGAAAAGAAATAGGTGGTATGGAAAGGAAAGAAAAAATCATTGGACTAAACATTCTAACTGGTGTTTATACATTTAAAAATAAAAATGCTTTTCAATTACGAAAAAGTAGACAATTATCTTCTCCTGAACAAAATTATGAACTATCAAAGGTAATATGTTTTATGTTGCAAGTGTAAGAAGAACGAGAAGTAATGATGAGCTAGAACTTATTAGAGATTTCCTTGAAATCTGGACTTGGTATTTATAAGATGGGTCTGTCCCAGGTTTATGCACGACAGCTGGTGAGCAGTTAGTTGCATTCAGAAAACATTGCTCATTTTGGGCCAATGTACATTCAAAGCCAGGAAAATATGCTGTGAAAATTTGCTATTACTAACGTCTCTAGTAAAGTTTTTAAAAAATGATCCTTTTAGTCTTACTTCTGTAGATTTATTCATAAAAATAGAAAGAATCCATTGGACCCTGATGGTAAAAGATGATGACAACTCTTTCCTGCTACACTGGGTGTTAAGATTATAGAGGCAAAATACCAAAACAAAAATGAAGTAAACTCCTTCAGCAAATGGACGTCACTGTAGAGGGCTCCATTCCCAGCCCTTCCTTACACAGGCCCATCATTGATTGATAATGACATTAAAGACGGGTGGTTTAAATGTGAGACATTGTCACATAGGCTCTCTGCTTATTTATTGTAACTCGGTTCTTCTCAAATTCTAGTGGGCATAAGAATTACTGTATAGGACTGATATAATAACTCATGGATATCATATCTTAATGACTGTTTTACAGACTGTTTAAGATTAATTTTGACCACAGAAGATTTTTCACTTTGAAGATTTTAGAATCTAACTCACTCTGTGGTTATATTCATTCATTCAACAAACTCTTGTGCATGCCTGTATACTAGATTTGGTGGGGCATCCGGGGAAACAGGAAGAGATAGACACAATTGCTGCCCTTATTGTGGTGGCAATCGAGAGGGAGGAAGCAGTAATTTTTACAGCATCACATGGCAAGAATTACGATACAGATGAACCAGGAGGATGGGTGAGGGACTTGTGAAAGATGTCAACAACAAAAAATGTTAGTTTTTATACTCACATATTATTAAACTGGATCCTGAAGAATTGGAGGGTGGCATTTTGAGGATGGAGAAGAGGAGAAAGGAGAATCCAGGCAGTTGGATCAACTCATGCAGAGACCTAGAGAGGTGAGCAAGTGGCAGGTTGGAAGAGCTGGGTGATTTAGCATGGGTGGGGGGAGCAGCGTTTGGGGTAGGAGAGGACTCATGGCTGGAAGCTTGACTGGGGTTAGACCCCAGGACCTGTTATGTCTGGCTTCATCTGCAAGTAACAGAAAGCCAAATGCAAAAGTCTTAAACAATAAAGGAGAGGTGTATTATTCCAGGAAGTCCTGAGGATGTGGGAACTGCAGATGGATTGGAGGGGAGACCCCTGAGGCAGGGACCCATTGATAAGTCTGGTGGTAAATTCGAGATGGGAAGGAAGAGGTGACTTTGAGAAGCTTGTAGGGACAAACTGGCATGAAAACCAAGTTTTGCACAGGAAGGGTAAATGGGAAAAACGATGGCAGTTTAGAGCTCTCTTTGACTATGTCCTTGTCACCTTTCCCTCTCTCCCATCCTATAACACCTTCCCCACCCTTCCACCATCCCTGATCTCCAACGAAAACCCCAGAAGTGATCTTCGATATCCTCCTTTTGTTCACACCTCTGCGTGAAACTCATCATCAATTCTTGTTTTCCCCTTCCCATTTCTACCCTCCAAGCCTCAGTTATCTCTGTCTTGAACTATTGCGGGGTTAACCAGCTGATTTCTTGTATCCACTTTTGCCAACCGATATTCTCTCCAAACCAAATCCTCTGCATCATATGTAGCCCGATTAATAATGAAAAAACCCAAATCAACGAGCAAAATGTCCCCAAACCAAATCATACCTCTCACTTGCTTAACTCCAGAGGCCAGCTTGGAATAAAACCCAGTCCTGTCCACATGGAAGGCTCCGGGAGACCTGGCCCTGCTGGCCCCTCCCCTCTCACTTTCTCATGCTCTTCTGGTGCCATTCTTCTTTACTTCAAATAGGCCAAGCTCTTTCCCCTGCTGTGGGTCCTTAATGTAGAGTGTTCCTGCAGATCAGAGGTCTCGGTCAATTATTACCTTTTTTATTTATTTGTTTTGTTTCTTGTCTTATTCCTTCTCCTACCCAAAATGAATGATAAATTCCCTGATGGAGAGGACTTTGCCTGTCATGTTTAATGTCTAATTCCCCAGCACCCGCTACAATCCTTGACACACAGCTTTAAATGTATGTGTGTGTGCCTGTGTGTGTGTTGGATGACAAGAAGGCCCCTAGTCCCATTTGCGGAAATGGGACTCACAGAGGGGGAGCCCAGTTTGCAGGGGAAGGTGTTGAAAGCAAAGGGTGAGCAGGCCATCCAGGTGGGATGTACAATGGACAACCCACTCAGATCCTCCCTACTCTTTAACACTTTCCCATCCCATACTGCTTTATGTGGAGATTATGTATAAGTTAAAAGTGCTTATAGACATGGCCCCTTTAGACCTCTCTACAACCTTGGAAGGGAGTAGAATGATTACTCTCATTTTACAGAATAAAACCTCAAGCACAGAGATTCTTGTCTGAGGCTCACATAGCTGGAAGGCTCTAAGTCCAGATTGGACCTGGGTATTCAAATCCCCAGATCTTTGTATTTTATTGTGGTTCTAGAAGTCATAACCCATTTTCTCCACCTTTACCAGTGAACAATAAGGAAGACAAATCATGTTGCAAAATACTTTCATTTTGATGCTGATCAAAGTGAGGTTAGTTTGCACATATATATATATATTTTTTTTTCATAAAGCTAAGCCCTATATATGTGTGTATGTATACATTTTCTCCCTAACAACTTAAAACCTTGAGAAAGGCAGAAGAACTAGGGAGAGAGAAAAATATAACTAGAAGAAAGGCCTCAGAGGAAACAAATGAAAAAAAACAAAGGTAAGATGATAAACTAAAAGACAAAGAACATATTTAGATTCTTCTTGTTTTTGGCAAGGTTACCAACAAAGAGATGTGGGTAACAAGATAAATTAGGCTTACTAAAGTAAGAAGGTTTATAATTGATGAAGAAAAAAAGGAGAAAACAGTTCCCTGGGGGGAGGCAGAAGAAAAGCGAGGTGGGGGGGGCAGAGGGAGGCAGCCATGGCCCAGCACAGCTCAGCCCTGCTGAGCCATCCCCAGACGGTGAACACTGGAGGCCCAGCGTGTGGTGGGTGTTTAGGGGAGACAGAAAAGGGGAAGATGTTAGGCCCTTTGACATCAGTTTGCTGATGGCAGCCACATGGGGAAATGTTTGAGGGCAAGGAGAGATGATCTAAAGGGTGTGCAGGTGGGGATGGCTTTGGTATGGGTGGGAGGGGCAGGGGCTTGGAGCTAGGTGTGGAGGGATTTGAAACACAGCCTTGATGTTGATTAGCTGTGTGACCATGGCCAGATTACTTAGCCTCTCTGAGCTTCAGTGTGGTCAACACAGGCACAGGTATAATACTGTGTACTTTATAGGTTGTTGTGGGGTTAAATGTGTTGTGTCACAAATCTTGCTTAGTGCTTGGTGCCTGGCAGGCACTGCATAGCCATTGATTCTCCCAGTGATCAAAGCAGCGGGTGGTGGCTGTAGCCATTCTCTGACAGGTATCTGTAAAGAGTCTCAGTAAGAGTTGTGACCTTCTGTTTTTGGGTACTGTTGTCAAGTCCTCAGGAGGCAGGAAGCAAGGAAACAAAGTCAGTGAGCTGTCCCCACCCTCACCTTGGGTGGCTCCATGTAGATGTGGAGATTGGGGTGGCTTTGATTTGTGAGGAAGCTGTGTGGGTTGTAACTGGGTACGTTTTTATTTCCAGGTTACTGTGTGCAGTAACTTACCACATTTGCTTTTTGAAAACGCCTTACTGGGCTGCTGTAGTAGAAAGAGAAAATCTTTCATTGGTGCGTGTATGTCGTCCAAATGGTATTTTTAAAGATTTATTTTTGAGTGTTCACGATGTTCTTGAATAATGTTTCCATAAGTACGGTCAAAGATAAAACTTGCGCGGTGCACGAAATCTGGTCGTGCATATTTTGGAGTGTGACCGTCTTTTGACCAGCCGTGGGATCCATTTGTCAAGTTTTTCACTGACTTGTGTTTCCTTAGGAGGACTTGCTTGAGCCGGCTTGCTGAAGGAGAAACTTCTGAACATGGGCCAAGCTAATGGTGGTGGCCCTGCCGAGTGTCAGCCCTTCTCCTCTTACCTGCATCAGTGTGGCTCTCCAGCTGGACCAGTGGAGGCCAGAGCCTCACAGCTCAGTCACTTATCAACAAGCAGCTGATGAGTGCCTTTGATGTGCTGGGGGCCGTGTGGGGATCTGGGGGACACAGGGTGACGTAGATGGACAAGACAGCTGGTTGCATGCAGCCGATCGAGTAACAAGAAAAGCGACGTGACTAAGGGTCGATGCTAGCTCGGGTAGTCAGGCAATGACAGGAACTGGGGTCATTTCTCCAGGAACTTGAAAGACACAAAAAAGCCAGCCAGGCAGGAGCAGCACAAGTGCAAAGGTCCTGAGATTGGGATAATTTGGCTTGTTTGAATCATGGAAAGCTGGGTGATACTATGGTTGCAATGTTTGTCCCCTCTAAAACTCATGTTGAAATTTAATCTGTAATGTGGCAGTATTGAGAGGTGAGGCTTTTAAGAGGTGATGGGTCATGAGTGCTCTGCCCTCATGAATGGGTTAATTCACTTATGGGTTAATGGATTAACGGGTTATTATGGGAGGGGAATTAGTGGTTTTATAAGAAGAAGGAGACCTGGGCCTCGTGCTCAGCCCCTCACCATGTGATGCTCTGCACTGCCATGAAGATTCTGTGGAGAGTCCCCAGCAGCAAGAAGCTCTCACCAGCTTGGCCCCTCGACCTGGATGTCTTGGCTTCCATAACTGTAAGAAATACGTTTCTTTTCTTTATAAATTACCCAGTTTCAGGTATTCAGCTATACGCAACAGAAAACAGACTAAGACAGTTGATGTGGCCAGACCCTAGTGAGTGCTAGGGGGGTGGCAAGAGATGAGTGCTCTAGGGCCAGGGGCCAGGGAAGGAGTGTGGATTTTATTGTAATACATGATAGAATTCTCGAGCCCTGTAAGACTTGGAGAAGAAGGGCAGGGAGGGCATCGTAGACAGAGGGAGTACTAGGCAAAGGCTGGGCAACAGCATGGCTTGTTAGGGCCTGGGTAGATCACAGTGGCCTGGGCAGTGCTTGTCTCCCTTCCCATCTCTGCTCCTGTTTGCAGCTCTGCCTCCTCTGCGTTTCTGGACCACCTGGCAGAAAATGGCCTCCCTTAACTCTGGAAGGTCACACCACTGCTGTACGGAGCCCAGCCCGGAGCAAGCTGGAGTCTCTCAGTTCCAGTTCCAAATTCCTAATAGTTCCTAATTCCAGAGAAGAATCTGATTGGCTCATATCCCTAGTCCAATGCCTGTGGTTAAGGGGGCAGGGTCATAAATACAGACCCATCCCACAGACCCACTTTAGTCCTTCGTTAATTGAGAACAAGTCGGAATCACAAACTGATGGTGTTCCATGGACAGATATCCTCCAAGAGCCTCTGCTGTGGATAGAACTGCAAGATGGTCTTGGGAGCGTGTAGGTGGGGATGGCGGTGGTGTGGGTGTGAAGGTTAGGGGCTTGGAGCTAGGTGTCAAGGGATTTGAGACTCAGCTTTGATGTTGATTAGCTGTGTGACCATGTGATGTGTGATGTGAACTGGTGGTCACCCTGGGACCCTGTGGGTAGGGTGGGAAGGGCAGTTCCCTACCATGGAACCTTGTGGTACACAAGACACCAAAAGGCCCCCAAAGGTGTGAGCACTGAAGATGTGGAAGGAAGTGTGGCCGTTCCACATGCCTGCTTCTGTTGCCACGAAGGAATTCTCAAGGTCTAGAACTCCTAGGTCAGAATGAATGGGAGGGAGCAAGCACCACAGAGAACAGCATGAGAAGTTTGAAAGTGAGGAAACAGTACAAGGAAGGCAGAGAGTAGGTGGAAGCCTGGCTAGAGAGTGATGCTCAGTCATGCCTGATCAAACATATCCCAGGAGAGCCTTCCTCACGGGCTCCTACAGGGGCTGTCTGGACTGCAAGGCAGGAGGGGAAATGGCTAGCAGGTGGCTGTCATTTTCTCATCATGCTCCCCACCTTTAGAAGCACAGTCCTCTTGTGGCTTTCACTACCACAGGAAGGTCATCAGGGTCCCAGAGGGACTTCTTAGGGTCCAGGTGGCAAGGTCAGCATGGAAAGAATGTTTCTGGTCTCCCGGGCACTGATCTGAATCTCCTGGGCCCCTTTCTCGTGCTCCACACTGCGCTGTGCCTGCCTCATTCTCTTATGTACTGGTTTGCTCCATTCTCTGACAGAGCCCACTAGTTCTTTGCAGCAAGTAAGATTCCTGAGTCAGGGCTTGCTGTGGAAACTCTCCTTTTGTGTGACTCTCATGGCTCTGTACACAGCAGAGGCTCTTGGTGGATATCTGCCCATTGAATGGAATGGGTTTGTGAGTCTCATCTGTTCTCGATTAACAAAAGACCAAGGTGGGTCTATGGGATGGGTCTGTATTTATGCAACTGATGTCAGAATCATTCAGTCAGTGGTCATCTGCTTACCACCTTTGTGGGTTTTGGCATATCTGCATTTCACCCCTACAGTGACGGACTTTCTACTTTTAAAAATGATTGACTCTCTTTTTTTCACTTAGAAAATTTATTTTAGCAGGAAACTTTATACCATGACCGCACATGAAATCCAGTATCTCATCCCTATAAATAGAAGGTGATGGTAAAATTAAATACAAAACTCTTAAATAGAAAGCATATGCCCATTGCTCCCAGAATCATCTCCAGGGCAACAATAAAACAGACATTATATCTGGGGAACTTTGATTTGTATCATGGGTGAGGATATGTTTAGGAAAATATTAACAGTCCCTGGAAAATTTCTGGACCTTGGGCAACTTCCCCTTCCATGAACTGTGGACCTGGTAGCCAGGGCCGCCACTTGCTGTGGGTGGCTCTGAGGAGGCAGCCTGAGTGACCAGTGAGAGGGTCACAGGAAGCTAGGGCTTGGCCCTCAAGCTCTACTTCTTGCCCTCCTGCCCACTCTACTCTCCTGCTGGGAGTAGAACTCACTCTCTCCTTCCCCCGAGAGCTGCTCATCCCAAGAACAGCTGCGGAGGAGGAGGCTGAGCAGAGCGAACAGGAACTGGGCCTGTGGAACACAGGCTGAGCAGTGGGCTTGAAGGAGGAGAAAGAATGAGGAGCAGATGAGTAGCTGGAAGATGGAGGGGAGGGGACTGAGAAGTGCTGGAGGGTTGGCTGTAATGCCTTGCAGCAAGAGAAGGGTTTTGGCTGAGAATGAGAAGTCAGCAGAATATCTGTTTGTCTGTTGAGTCTTGAGGTGATAACTGGGTGCACGAGCCCCAAAGCAGTATTTTGGTTCTTAGGTTGCAGTGAGTGACCCTTCTGTATGACAAAAGAGTTTAGGAGTAAAATGCAAGGTACAAATGTAAAAGCAGTATGGGCCGGGGTGCGGTGACTCATGCCTATAATCCCAGCATTTTGGGAAGGCAAGTCAGGAGGATCGCTTGAAGCCTGAAGTTCAAAACCAGCCTGTGCAGCAAAGTGAGACCTGATCTCTATAAAAATTAAGTAAAGTAAAATAAGTAAAAGCAATATGATGATTATTAAAGTGCAGGCTCACTCTCTCAGTTGTTTGGATTTGGTTTAATTACAAGTTGGGATTTCAGCAGGCTAAGAGGTCAATGGCGCAGTGCGTCATCAATAAACCTCCAAATGCCAAAGCTGTGTGCCACGGCTCAGTAAGGGTAGAGTCTCGTAGAGCTGGAGGGAACTTGGTGTGAGGTGTCTCCTCAGGGCCCCTGGGCTGAGCCACTTTTAGCATGTTTGGCATTCCCTAAACCTGTGGGAGGACCTTCCTGGCAGGTGACCCACTAGCTCCTCAGGGCACCTCTAGAGGTGCTAAGGCTGCTGAGTTTGCTGGTTCCTGAAGCTGCAACTCTTGCCCTTCAGATGCCAGGCTTTGAGCTCCTGTGAAGAAGACATTGTGCTGGTTCGGGACCAGACTTTGCAAGGATGTTGGGAACCAGGTACCCGGTTGAGGGTCTGGAGAGGGCATCACAAGCACCTGCTCACAGGGTCATATAGGCTGGTGTCTGTTCTTGTATTGCTATAAAGAATTACCTGAGACTAGGTAATTTATAAAGAAAAGGGGTTTAATAGGTTCATGGTTCCACATGCTGTATAGAAACATGGCGGCACTAGGTCTTAGGGCTTTTACTCATGGTGGAAGGCAAAGCAGGGGCAGAAGTAAGAGAGAGCAAGGTGGGGGAGGCTGCACACTTGCAAACAACCAGATCGTGGGAGAACTCAGTCACTATCATGAGAACAAATAACAGCAAGGGGATGGTGCTAACTCATTCATGAGAAATCCATTCCCATGATGTATGTAGTCACCTCCCATCAGCCCCCATCTCTAACATTGGGGACTACAATTCAACATGAAATTTGGTGGGGACACAGCTCCAAGCCACATCAGCTAGCTTGCTTCTGCGTGGGTAAACCAGCCACCATATATATATATATATCTGGGGCTATGCCTGACTCCTGAATTTATCTCCTTGCCTTATGATTATGGACAGGTCACTTAACCTCACACCTACACTGACTGTCTAATTTGAATCCCAGCTGTGTCACTTGCTAGCTGTGTGGCCTTGGACAGGCTATTAACATCTCTGTTCCTCAGTTTCTCCCCATGTAAAATGGTGACCATTCTAGTACTTGTCTCTTGGGTATTGTGGTAATTAAGATACTTAACACACGTTTGTGGGAGAATCCCTAAGCTATGGCTGGTGTACGCTCTACATAGAAGTGTGAGCTTCTGACATCATCTGGGGCTGCTCGCTTCACTCTCCCTTTTGCACGAGGGAGGTGTGTGAAGTTGAGAACTCTGTTGGCAGTGTTTGCCTCCTCCTGAGGCTGCTGCCACACTAACCTTCCACTCTGTCTCTTCTTTTTTGAGATGGAGTCTCACTCTGTCACCCAGGCTGGAGTGCAGTGGTGTGATCTTGGCTCACTGCAACCTCTGCCTCCTGGGTTCAAGTGATTCTCCTGCCTCAGCTTCTGAGTAGCTGGGACTATAGGTGTACACCACCACACCCCGCTAATTTTTGTATTTTTAGTACAGATGGGGTTTCACCATGGTGGCCAGGGTGGTCTTGAACTCCTGACCTCAAGTGATCCATCTGCTGTGGCCTCCCAAAGTGCTGAGATTACAGGTGTGAGCCACTGCACTCAGCCTAACCCTCCACTCTGAACTTGAGCCTGGGGTCTCCGCTCTTAATTCCTCATACTGCTCTAAAGAACTACCTGAGACCAGGAAATTTATGAAGAAAAGAGCTTTAATTGACTCACAGTTCTGCAGGCTGTGCAGGAAGCATGATTAGGAGGCCTCAGGAAGCTTACAATCATGGTGGAAGGCAAAGAGGAAGCAAGCACATCTTACCATGGCCAGGCAGGAGAAAGAGAGCCAAGGGGGAAGTGCCACACACTTTTAAACAGCAAGAGCTTTTGCGAACTCACTCACTGTCGTGAACAGCAAGGGGAAATCTGTCCCCATGATCAATTGAGCTCCCACGAGGCCACTCCCCCAACATTGAGGATTAGAATTCGACATGAGATTTGGATGGGGACATAGAGCCAAACCATATCAACTCCCCAGAAATGTAACTACTAATAGCCTACTGTTGGCCAGAAGCCTCACTGATAACACAAACAGTCCATGAACATACATTTTGTACGTTAAATACTGTATTCTTACAATATCATATACTGTATAATATACTGTATTCTTACAATAAAGTGAGCTAGAGAAAATGAAAAATGTTGATTCTGCTGAAACAGTGCAAAAAAAGAGAAAATCTTATTAAAAAATTATAAGAAGGAGAAAATATATATACAGGACTGTACTGTATTTATCAATATGGCAAGTAAGTTCCCATTGTCTGTTTACAAGATGAATTGTCTGAAATGTCAGCCAGCTGCAGCTGCAGACCTCAATCTACAGTACATCTCAAGCAAGTCAGCTTTTCCTTGTGATGTTGTGACTTTTCTCTGCTTTTGGGGAGTACTTCCAGCATCATTAGTGGCACTTTGTATGGGCCCCATGGTGTTATTCAAGGTTGCACTAAACACAATGAAAAATACACAGGAACCACAAGAGATCACTTTTTACTGCGAAATGCAATTTAC